TTTTCCTTCACCTGAGGTCGGAAACAGATGCAGTTTCCGAAACATCATGTTTTTATTTGTTATCTTAAAAACCAGGACGATGGATAAAGTCCAAAAACCCAATATATCAGTGTGTTATACACCATCGTCAGAATCCTATAGTAACTACTAGTATTGATGGAATGTAATATAAATAAGCATGTATTGAAAATGTTGTGTATAGTTTTCCTGTGAAGCAAGAATTTCAACTAAAGAATATATTAATTGTTTCCAAACTACTTGTGTACTAATTATGGTTATTTCCTTTCTCTTAATGCAGTGCAATTTTGCTGTAATGAAGTGAAGGTAATTAATTGCCTTTCTCAAAGGTGAATGTTTGAATTTACTACAGGCCAGTCCATTTCAGTGCACATCTTCCATAATGCGTTTGCCTGAGACAAGTTTGTTCTTCCAATTGTTCCTTGTTTTCAAACAGACCATTTTCCAAGAAAAGACTCGCATACACATACATATTCATGGACATGCAAACATTCTTTGGCTGTATGGTTTCTGAGAGTCTCGGTCTCTATTTTACTAGATTCCTGTTCCCCTCTGCCTCCATCTGTCAGTTTTCAGCTGTCATAAATCTTCCAGCCTTCCTACTTTTCTTGTACCTTGTAGCTTACTTTAAAAAATGTATTTGGCCAACCTTATTTGAACCACTCTTATCAGATGCCTGACCACTTCAACTTTCTCCTTTTAATATCTGCTACCAGATCAGGGGACCAAAATCCCCTGTAACTCTCAACTGACCTATATGTGCGGTCCATCATTTCCTCCTTCATTTGATAACTATAACAGTAATTGAAGAACTTCAAAATTTATAAAGCAACTCTTTGTGTGAAGTTCTCAGTTCTTATATGTTTCAGAATTTTTTAAGTCCAAATATTTTCCTTAGCATTTTGTTTTCAGACCCCCTTCATTTATATTTCATCCTCAGGGTAATAAACCAGAGGCCAAAGTCACATTTGTGAAAATAGGCTTCAATGCAGAGGAGAAGCATTAAAGGACACATGCTCGCCTTTATGTCCCTCCAGCTCCTGAGATGGGAAGATAAACGTATTTCCACATCTTTTGGCTTATTTTGGACTTCACCCATCGTCCGGTATATAAAAAGACANATTTCCACATATATGAGTTGCCCTGTGACATGGCTTTATTCATTTTGCTTCCACTGTAAGCGCCCTCACCTGCTGTCTCTATTGTGAACTTGGCCATCTCAATTCTCATTTATTCCGTATCTTCATTTTCTAAAATGTCAAAGGGATCCTAGGGATTTGCATCTCTATAAGACATGTCCATGTTGCAATATCATCTTTCCTATGAGATTCAAGTTAATTTAATTTTAAAAGCCTTCACAGTTACTACCTGAATTTATTTATTTTTATATTTTGTTGCAGGTGAATGAAATGTTTGACTCAACTCGCAATCAAGTGAGGAAGAGGGTAGAACGAGCAGAATGGATTCCACCTGAACTACGAGCTTTACAACTGGAGAAGGTATCTTAAAGTATTTAGATTATTACCATCCAGTATGTTCGTCATATATAGTGTTTGTTCTTAAAAATGTTATGCTGATTTTCTTGCTTTTGTTTTATGAAGTGGATGTTTGAACTTCTTTGATGAAAATGCATCACATTAATAAAAGTGGATTTACAGTATATTGGCACTTACTTGGGTCACAGGAGGGCTGATGAAGCATAAATAATATAAAAACATGAATAGTACAAAATTATATTGAATTCAACTCACACATACTCGAACAGTGCATGAAGAACTACATATAATGGTTTATGGTATAAAATTTATAACTCTTAAGTACAGTATAGTAACAACGCAGTAGCATGATGGGAAGGTTAATTTTTTACCTTAAGGCAAATAATTTGCAGTACAGCCCGCTGCGAGCCTTGGTCTTATTGAGGAGGTATAGCTCCAATCTTTCTTAGCTTTCAGCACTAGATAGAGGTGAGTGGTTAGTGTCATGCCCATGCTGCTTCATCCACTGGGAAGGAGCCCAAATATCTACTGGACAGGAAGCTGAGTGTGCCCCAGATTTGATCAAGAATTTGTGGCAAAGAGAAAATCTCCACCTCCATGAAAACTAACTCTCATTCTCTGACATTCAAAGATAGTGACTGAGCTATGTGGCTCATTTCAGTCTCTGTCTGACCATTTGTATGTTTCTGTGTTTCCCAGTAACAGATTTTATAATGTGAAGGGTGCCATAAAGGAAACTGATAATGGGGGGTTATAATGGGAATGTTAGGAGAAAAACAAGAACTTTGTTTGCAGGTAGATTTGTACATGGAAATTTGACAAGTGGAAATAATTTTGTGAATGATTGAACAACTGCAGATGGATAAGTTGGTAATCAGGAACTTCTTTCAGTTGAGAACAAATTCTTCATGTAATATTGTATCTGAGCATCCTGTTGCATTGGTTGAGCACTTGATATATATTGTGACATGACAGCTGATGGAATAATGGAACAGGAAGAGGTGGCAACACACTTTTCCTTGGAAAGAGTCACACAACAATAGAGGACACAATCACTTCCAAGGAAGAAAAGGTGGAATTGCTGTTGCAGTAAGAGAAGACATTCTGCACAGCAGTGAAGACCTGCTTTCGCTTGTTTCAATTCATTCATTCATTTCATTTATTTTCCATATATCCATACAGGTAAAAAGCTAGGATGTGGAAATAGTCCCTTTGATAATAGATGTGTCAAGATACATATAATAAATTACATAAGTTACATAATTAAAACCACATAGATATATTTGCCACAATATAGATAATAGAATAAAAAACTTATACAATTATAATTAATAAACATAATTTAAAAAGAACATTACTATAAAAACTTAAAATTAATACAGTTTCATTCAAATTACCCAAATTAACTGAATTAAATGCATTATAAATTTACACACTTATGACCAATTATCTTTCCTTCTTTCTTTCTTTATTTCGTTTTCCCATAAATCAAAATACATTGATACAGGACTCGTCATATATACATATACATATCCTCCACTTTCCATAAACATACATACAGGCAACAGACCCAGGATGTGGAAATAGTCACCAAACACATACACAAAGTCAC